TTTGCAGCAGGGCGACAGCTGATCAATTCAGACTTCATGGTCTCGTGTGTCACACAGCATAAGGGAAGTGCCAGGCATGAGGAGGTCAATGACATTATAAAGAGAAGCCTCGCCACAGCCCGTTGCCCAGCTCAACGGGAACCCCAAGTGCAGAGGTCTGACGGAAGTCAAAAGCGTCCTGATGGAGCCACTATGCTACCTTGGAAGGATGGAAAGCAGATTGCCTGGGACTACACCTGTGCCGCCACATTGGCAGACACCTACTTGCCATACTCCGTAGTGGAAGGGGGTGGAGCTGCCAGCCACAGGGAGACCCAAAAGATCTGCAAATATGAAGACCTTTCCCCTTGCTATAACTTCATCCCAATAATGTTGGAGACCCTTGGAGAATGGGGCAAGTGTGCTCTAAAGTTCCTCAAAGAGCCGGGTGAAAAGCTCATCATAGAAACCAAGGACCACAGGGCGACCAGCTTCCTCTTTCAGAGACTCAGTGTTGCAATCCAGAGAGGAAATGCCTGCAGCATTCTGGGCATGCGGGCGGCCCGCTGCCGGGGAGCTGGACGAAGTATTCGAGATGTAGCTCTGAGCTACCTATGTTATTTTACTTTCTATTGTATCTTTGTGAATGTTTTGTCAATGTATTTTGTCTTTAAATAAAATATATATTAATTAAATATAGGGGGTGGTAGGAGAAAATTCTCAAACAGCTTCAGGGAGAACCTTGAGTTTTCCCTGAAGCAAGTTTATTCTTTTCCCTGAGGATGAGGGTCCCCAGAATAGTTCTAGAGGTGGTATATATATATATATATCACTCACACACACACACACAAAATTCACGGTGACCTAAAAGAAAGAAAAAACTTTGATTATCAGTCAACATTTTCACCATTACTCATGCATAATCACTGTCTCTGCAGAAGCACCCAGATATGACAGTTTAGATAGTCACTCCAAACTGCCAATATCCCAAACCCCTCATTTAACCCTTTGACTGTCGCAAGCCCCTTTCTGAAATGGTCATTCTATGTTGCAAAATTTTTTGAAAAAAAAAAAAAAAAAAAAAAAAAAAAAAAAAAAAAAAAAAAAAAATTATTTTTTCTTATGAAATGATAAGAGAATCTTTTCCTGGTGGTAAAGACACCAAAAGTACAACATTTGGTTGAAAACTCACGAAAGTTAGCAGTCTTGGCGACATATACACATCAGCGATTTCGCCGACTTTGAGCCCTGTTTTTGGTCAATTCTGTTATTCCAGTTGACCAAACTCGTAGCTATTTCTTTAGAACTCCATTTTTTCTATCAGTCTAGTACAAGAAACCACCCATTTACCAATTTGAACTACCCAATAAAGTGGTCAGAAATTGGCAATTTGGCCAATTTCAAAATAGGGTCCAGAATAAACAATGTAGACATTCTTGGCACTAAAATAACAAATCCTCTGTTCACTAGTCTCATCTCTAGGCCCCTCTTGTATTACTATTGCTTTCTATTTTGATTTTTTATTCATACAAAAAATACAAAATTTACTGTTATGCAGACTGCTGCATTATTGTAAAATTGGTATAAATAATATCAGTGCACTAGTGAAAGAATATCAGACTCCCCAGTTGACGTGTATTGGACGTGCGGTGTGATTTGCTTACTCCTGAACATTGGTAAAAATCAAACATTTCTGCTACTTTCAGCTCAATTTCAAGGTCATTTTCATTGTGAAACTAATCAAAACCATCTCTATTTTTGTAATATGTTTTCCATTTTATCACACGAGATCATGAAAATGAGAATACAACATGGCATTTTAATCCAAAAAACGGTCAGTTTTTTTTTTCTCGTTATGCACTGCATGCTGCACGATATTTTTACGTGGTGCACACACCACACAGACCCATTCTCTCACATGTGGGCCTACCAGCTTTCTCCTCCTTGATTTGAAGCCGCTAGAATTTATGAGTATTAATACGTCCGAAACACTGGCTCGTAGACGTATATATATGACCAGAACAGTCAAAGGGTTAAAGTGCAGGCATTGTACTTCCCATTTCGAGGACTCAAGTCTGGCTAACCGGTTTCCCTGAATCCTTTGACTAAATATTACCCTATTTACACTCCAACAGCTCATCAGGTCCCAAAAACCATTCACTCCCATCTAACATGCTCGTGCACGCTTGCTGGAAATCCAAGCCCCTCACCCACAAAACCTTTACCCCCTCTCTCCCACCTCTTCGAGGATGACCCATACCCCGCCTTCCTTCCCCTACAGATTGATACGTTCTCCAAGTCATTCTACTTTGTTCCATTCTCTCTAAATGACCAAACCACCTCAACAACCCCCTCTTCAGCCTTCTAACTAATACTTTTAATACTCCACACCTCCTCCTAATTTCCACACTATGAATTCTCTGCATAAAACTTACACCACATATTGCCCTTAGATATAACATCTCTGCTGCCTCCTTGCTGCAGCATTTACAACCCAAGCTTAACGCCCATTTAAAAGTGTTGGTACCCCTATACTTTTGTACATTCTCTTCTTTGCCTCCATGGATCATGTTTTTTGTCTCCAGATACCTCAATGCACCACTCACCTTTTTTCTTCATCAATTCTATGGTTAACCTGTTAGTGGATGGGTTTATGAAGGATGACGTTAACCATGAACTGATGAAGAAAAAAAAGGTGAGTACTGCGTTGAGGTATCTGTGGAGACAAAAAAAAAAATGTTATCCATAGAGGCAATGAAGGGAATGTACGAAAGTACAGTGGTACCAACACTCTTATATGGGGGTGAAACTTGGGTTGTAATTGCTGAAGTGAAGAGGTGGCTGGAGGAAATGGAGATGTCCTGTCTAAGGGCAATGTGTGGTGCAAATATTATGCAGAGAATTTGCAGTGCAGAAATTAGGAGGAGGTGTGGAGTTACTAAAAGTATTAGTCAGAGGGCTGAAGAGGGGTTGTTTAGGTGGTTTGGTCATTTAGAGAGAATTGAACAAACTAGAATGACTTGGAGAATGTATAAATCTGTAGGGAAAGGAAGGCTGGGTAGGGGTCATCCTCGTAAAGGTTGGATGGAGGGGGTAAAGGAGGTTTTGTGGGTGAGGGGCTTGGACTTCCAGCAAGCAAGCACGCATGAGCGTGTTAGATAGGAATGAATGAAGACAAATGGTTTTTGGGACTTGACGAGCTGTTGGAGTGTGAGCAGAGTACTATTTTGTGAAGGGATTCAGGGAAACCAGTTAGCCGGACTTGAGTCCTGGAAATGGGAAGTACAATGCCTGCACTTTAACCCTTTCAGGGTTGCCAAGCCCTCTCCGAGACTTGTTCTCAGGGTCGCCAAATTTTAAAAAAAAAAAAAAAATTATTTTTTCTTATGAAAAGATAGAGAATCTTTTCCCGATCATAATGGCACCAAAAGTATGAAATTTGATGGAAAACTTACGGAATTATGCTCTCGCGATGTTAGCGGTCTCAACGGTGTTGACGTATTGGCGATTTTCCCCAATTTGAGCCCTATTTTCAGCCAATTCCAGTGTACTAGTCAACAAAAATCGTAACTATTTCACTAGAACTCCATTTTTTCTATCGAATGAGTACAAGAAACCACCCATTTACCGATTTTAACTATCCAATAAAGTGGTCAGAATTTAGCAATTTTGCCAATTTCACACAAATTTCAAAAGATGCCAATTTCTGAATAGGGTCCAGAATAAACAAGAAAGACATTCCTGGCACTAAAATAACATTTCCTCTGTTCATTAGTCATGTCCCCATGCCCCTCTTACATTCTTTTGCTTTCCACTTTGAATTTTTATTCTCACAAAAAAAATAGAAGATTTACTGTTATGCAGACTACTGCATTAGTGTAGAAATGATATAAATATCAACGCACTTGTGAAAGAATATTAGACTCACCAGTTGACATGTATTGGATGTGTAGCATGATTTGTTTACTTTTGAATTTTGGTAAAAATCGAACATTTCTGCTACTTTGAGCTCAATTTCAAGGTACTTTTCATTGTAAAACCGGTCAAAATCTCAATTTCTGTAATATGTCTTCCATTCTATAAAATGAGACCAGGAAAACTAGAATACAACAATAAATACCATACGAAAATACAGTGCAAAGTTGCTGTTTTAATCCAAAAACACGGTCAGTTTTTTTTTTCTCATTACGCACTGTGTGCTGCAGGATTTTTTTTTTATACTGCACACACTGACCACAAAGACCCATTCTTTCATATGTAGGCCTACCAGCTTTCTCTCACTAGATTTGAGGGCGCTAGAATTTAGGCATACTAGTACGTCAAAAACCCTGGTGCATAAGCCGTACTAGTACGTCCAAAACCCTGAAAGGGTTAAAGGAGGGGTTTGGATATTGGCAGTTTGGAGTGACTAAACTGTCGCATCTGGGCGCCTCTGCAAAGACAGTGATTATGAGTGAGTAAGGTGAAAGTGTTGAATGATGATGAAAGTATTTTCAATTTGGGGGTATTCTTTCTTTTTGGGTCACCCTGCCTCGGTGGGAGATGACCGACTTGTTGAACAAAAAAAAATTACAGTATTATAGGAATTCTTATAATTTAACCACTAGGTGGTGAATGACTACCCAAATAGCTCATTAATTGTGCAAATGTTGATAAAAAGTAAAACCATGTGCCAAAGTCTTGATGTCACCTAGAAAAAAGTCCAAGAAGTCCACCACTTTGTCAAGCTATAGTCAAGAGCAGATGTGACCAAGTTATCTTGACAACAGCCAAGAATATATTAAAGACAAATTCAATTAGCATTTACTAATATTTATTAAAATAAACAGAAAATTTAGCATTCTCTTTCCATGCATATCTCCAGAATACCTTAATGTTTAATGCAAAATTTGTCAGTAAAAAGATGTAGAAGCAAAATGAAAAATACACAAGCAATGTTAGTTGGAAAACCAATTAACCAGTAATGCAATGCAATCTGCACACTACACAAACATGCACTTATCAGGGACTGTATTACTCACCCGCTGAGAGTTTGATGTGGTACTTGATGCATCATCTAAAATAAAAGTAAATAATATTAAGAAAAACTATCTTCTATACCAAAGAAAAACTCATGTACAATGGAACCCCAAAATTCACAAGTGTTTCATTCCTAGTGGCTTTGGGAAATTTACATTAATACAGTACAGTAGGGCCCCACTTAAACAGCAGGTTAGGTTTCAGGCTACCGCTGTAAAGCGGAAATCACTGTAGAGTGAAACACCCTTTTTTCCACTTATAAATGCAAATAAATACTAGATAACAAGTTTACATTAACATATATAAACAATAGAACTAGGCATAAAACAAAATATACATACAGTACACTCATTACTTACATTAAAATATTTGTAGTCTTAATGTAGGGTGAGATGAGTAGTGTTTATTGTAAGAAATCAAGTGTGGCATGTATGGTAGCCAGCCAGGCTACCATACCAGGCCGCCCCACCCACACATAATATTTTATGACATTTAAAGTGTCCTAGAGTGATAAAATGCATATACAGATCACTCATTACTTACCTTAAAATATTTGTAGTCTTAATGTAGGGTCAGAGGAGAGTAAACGAGATAAAACAAATGAATGAGAGAGAGAATGAGTACATGAGAGAAGACAGGCGCGAAGTTATGTAAACAAACCAGGCATATGCGTCTGGTTTCTGCACAAGTTACATTGTGTACAAGTTGTCTCCACGTTGATACAGTAGAATAAAAAGAGGAACACTCCCATGCTCGTGTAACACCATTTTTAGAAGAAATGACGCTCTGAGTGAAGGCATACGAAGGAATAATTTTCTACAGTTACCCCAAGTAACACACTTTCTATGATGCTGGACTAGAGAAAATGTTATTCTTGCAGTCACTTGTACAAGTCGTCTGCCTACCACATCTCGTATTTATGTTAATTTATTTGACTGGGTCTATTTATCATGTTTATATGTTATGTATCATGTTTATTATATAATTTTGAAAAAATATCATAGATGGAGTAATGAAAATGCGTATATTAACATAATATACGACATTTAATGAAACTCGGTGATTACTGAGTATTATCATTATTAATATGGTGTCCCGAGACATAAGACACTCTTGCTGATTTTAATGTGTACCTGCAAGCCAGCACAGTGTGTAAGTTTATTTAGGTACAGGTATACATAAGTATAATTATCAGAGTAGGTAGTAGGTTGGTAGACAGCAACCACCCAGGAAGATACTACCCTCCCGCCAAGTGAGTGTAAAAAGGAAGCCTGTACAGTGGACCCCCGGTTAACGATATTTTTTCACTCCAGAAGTATGTTCAGGTGCCAGTACTGACCGAATTTGTTCCCATAAGGAATATTGTGAAGTAGATTAGTCCATTTCAGACCCCCAAACATACACTTACAAACGCACTTACATAAATACGCTTACATAATTGGTCGCATTCGGAGGTGATCGTTATGTGGGGGTCCACTGTATTTGTTTTACACGATGGTAGGATTGCTGGTGTCTTTCTTCTATCTCATAAACAGGCAAGATTTCAGGTACATCTTGCTACTTCTCCTTATAGTTAGGTCACACTATACATACATGTACACGTTTATGTATACACACTCATCTGCGTTTTCTATGATTTTGTCTTTATAGTTCTTGTTCTTATTGCTTTTCCTTTTATATACATGGGGAAGTGGAATAAGAATCTTTCCTCCATAAGCCAAACGTGTTGTAAAAGTCAACTAAAATGCCAGGAACAATGGGCTAGTAACCTCTTTACCTGTATAGCCTACTAAACAGAAAAAGAAGAAAACCGTCAAAGTGGGATATTTGAATGTGCGTGAATGTTGTGCGAATGATAAAAAAAGAGATGATTGTGGAAGTTATGAATGAGAAGAAGCAGGATGTCCTGGCTTAAAGTCAAACAAAGCTGAAGGGGGTGGGAGAGTTTCAGTGGGGAGAAATAAATGGGATTAGGTCAGGGGTTTCAAATAGTTAGAGCTAAAGAAGGAGTAGCAATAATGTTGAAGGATAAGTTATGACAGGAAAAAAAGGAATATAAATGCATAAATTCAAGGATTATGTGGAGTAAAATAAGGGTTAGATGTGAAAAGTGGGTTATAGTAAGCATTTATGCACCTGGAGAAGAGAGAAGTGTAGAGAGAGAGAGAGAGAGAGAGAGAGAGAGAGAGAGAGAGATTTTAGGAAATGTTGAGTAAGTGCATGGGGAGTTTTAAACCTAGTGACAGAGTACTTGTGGCTGAGGATCTCAATGCTAAACTGGGTAAAAAATGTTGTGGAGGGAGTAGTAGGTAAATCTGGGATGCCAGGGGTAAATGAAAATGGGGAGCCTTTAATTGAGCTGTGTGTAGAAAGAGGTTTGGTAATAAGTAATACATATTTAATGAAAAAGACGATAAGTATACAAGGAATTATATAGCACGTAATGAAAGTACTATTTTGTTAGATTATATATTGGTGGATAAAAGGCTGATGGGTAGGCTTCAGGATGTACATGTTTATAGAGGGGATACTGATATATCAGATCATTATTTAGTCATAGCTACAGTTAGAAAAAGAGGTAGATGGGACAAAAGGAAAATGGCAGCACCAAGCAAGAGAGAGGTGAAAGTGTATAAACTAAGAGATGAGGAAGTTGGCGTGAGATATAAACAACCACTGGCGGAAAGGGGGGCTAGTGCAAATATGAGCAGGGGGGGGAAGGTTGAAGAGGATTGGAATAGTTTTAAAAATGTAGTATTAGAATGTGGGGCAGAAGTTTGTGGTTATAGGAGGGTGGGTGCAGGAGGAAAGAGGAGTCATTGGTGGAATGATGAAGTAAAGAGTGTGATAAAAGAGAAAAACATAGCTTATGAGAGGTTTTTACAAAGCAGAAGTGTTATAAGAAGAGCAGAGTATATAGAGAGTAAAAGAAAGGTGAAGAAAGTGGTGAGAAAGTGCAAAAGGAGAGTAGATGATAGTGGGAGAGGCACTGTCAAGAAATTTTGATGAAAATAAGAAAAAATTTTTGGAGATAAAAAAGTTGAGAAAACCTAGGGAATGAATGGATTTGTCAGTTAAAAACAGAGTAGGGGAGTTAGTAGATGGGGAGCTGGAGGTATTGGGTAGATAGTGGGAATAATTTGAGGAACTTTTAAATGTCAATGAAGAAAGGGAGGCAGTATTTTCATGCACTGGTCAGGGAGGTATAACATCTTTTAGGAGTGAAGAAGAGCAGGATGTGAGTGTGGGGGAGGTGTGTGAGTCATTACGTAGAATGAAAGGGGGTAAAGCAGCTGGAACTGATGGGATCATGACAGAAATGTTAAAAGCGGGGGTGATATAGTGTTGGAGTGGTTGGTATTTTTGCTTAACAAATGTATGCAACCTAGGTAGTAGGTTGGTAGACAGCAACCGCCCAGGGAGGTACTACCGTCCTGCCAGGTGAGTGTAAAACTGAAGCCTGTAATTGTTTTACATGATGGTAGGATTGCTGGTGTCTTTTTTTTTTGTCTCATACACATGCAAGATTTCAGGTACGTCTTGCTACTTCTACTTACACTTAGGTCACACTACACATACATGTACAAGCATATATATACACACCCCTTTGGATTTTCTTCTATTTTCTTTCTAGTTCTTGTTCTTGTTTATTTCCTCTTACCTCCATGGGGAAGTGGAACAGAATTCTTCCTCCGTAAGCCATGTGTGTTGTAAGAGGCGACTAAAATGCCAGGAGCAAGGGGCTAGTAACCCCTTCTCCTGTATATATTACTAAATGTAAAAGGAGAAACTTTTGTTTTTCCTTTTGGGCCACCCCGCCTCGGTGGGATACAGCCAGTGTGTTGAAAGAAGAAAGAAATGTATGAAAGAGTGGAAGGTACCTAGGGATTGGCAAAGAGCATGTATAGTTCCCTTATATAAAGGGAAGGGGGACAAAAGAGATTGTAAAAATTATAGGGGAATAGGTTTACTAAGTCCTAGGTAGTAGGTTGGTAGACAGCAACCATCCAGGGAGGTACTACCGTCCTGCCAAGTGAGTGTAAAACAAAAGCCTGTAATTGTTTTGCACGATGGTAGGATTGCTGGTGTCCATTTTTCTGTCTCATAAACATGCAAGGTTTCAGGTGTCTTGCTACTTCTACTTGCACTTTGGTCGCACTACACATACATGTACAAGCATATACAGTGGACCCCCGCATAGCGATTTTAATCCGTGCAAGAGGGCTCATTGTTATGCGAAATGATCGGTATGCGAATGAATTTTCCCCATAAGAAATAATGGAAATCAAATTAATCCGTGCAAGACGCCCAAAAGTATGAAAAAAAAAATTTTACCACATGAAATATACATTTTCCTACACACAGAGAGAAGGATACATGCACAATATATATTGTGCATGTACTACTCTACTAAATGAAGAATAAATGACACTTACCTTTATTGAAGATGCAGCAATGACTGATGAGACAGTGTGTCCTGGGAGTGCTTTTTCCTCCTGAGTACTGTAGGTCCTGTTTGGCATTTTCTTCCAGAACAGGCCTTATCACACTGTGTATGCCACTACGATTCTTAAATCTCTCAAACCAACCTTTGCTGGCTTTAAATTCACCAATATGAGCACTAGTTCCAGGCATTTTTCCCTGTTCACCTGGGTGTTAGTCGACTGGTGTGGGTTGCATCCTGGGAGACAAGATTAAGGACCCCAATGGAAATAAGTTAGACAGTCTTCGATGACACTGACTTTTTTGGGTTATCCTGGGTGGAAAATCCTCTGGGGTTAATTGTTTCTTGGTATTCTCAATAAGCCACACCAACAACGGTGCTACAGCAGCAGCAGCAGCAGCTGACAGTGCTACAGCAGCAGCTGACAGTGCTACAGCAGCAGCAGACGATGTTACAGCAGCAGCTGACGGTACTACAGCAGCAGCAGCAGCTGACGGTGGTACAGCAGCAGCAGACGATGCTACAGCAGCAGCAGACGATGCTACAGCAGCAGCAGACGATGCTACAGCAGCAGCAGACGATGCTACAGCAGC